TGTGTGTGTGCATGTATGTATAGAGAGATGTGTGTGTGCATGTGTGTAGAGAGGTGTGTGTAGAGAGATGTGTGAGCGTGTGTGTGTACATGTGTGTGTGGAGATATGTGTGTGCGTGTGTGTGTGTGTACATGTGTGTGTGGAGATATGTGTGTGTGCGTGTGTGTGTAGAGATATGTGTGTCACATTGTGAGTATGGCAATCAGAGGTCAGCCTCCAGCGTCTGTCCTTGCTTTCCATCTTCTTAGAAACACGGGTCTCCAATGCTCACCCAGGCCTAATGCCCACCCGCACCACCAGCAGCTTTGGGGATCCTCTTCCCATCCATCTTCCCCCACAGGAATGAAGAGATTACACACATGCAGATTATTGCATCTGACTTTTACCTGGACGCTGGCCACCCCAGCTCCAGCCTTTAAGCTTGGGTGGTGAGAGTTTTGCCTGGGAACTGCCTCCCTAACTCCCCATCTTCTTTTTTGAGGCGTAGTCTCTCATTGACCTAAAATTCACCAAATACACTAGGCCAGCTGGCCAGTGAGATTCAGGAGTCTGCCTAATGCCTGCCTCCCAGGCTTTGGGATTGCAGGTGCATCCCACCAGGAATGGAACACTCAGATCCTCATGCTTGCGAGATAAACATTTCACTGACTTCACCTCAAGCCCCCATGCTCTTCCTCGGGCCTCTCTCAGGGCTCTCAGTTGCAGCCACCTTTCCCTTGCTGTTCCTTCTCCTCCAGCCCCCACAGCCCCAGGTACAGAAAACATTTTGTTGAAGGACAAACCTGCCCAAGATATACACCCTCGCTTTTATAACCTCAAGTGCCTCACCCCAGCCTCCAAACACTTGGTTTCTCCTCTCCCACCCCAGTTAAGACTGTCAGAACCTACAAGTGGGTTGTGATTCTTGTCAGCATCCTGATGCTCCTGGCTGCGATTGGCATCGGGTAAGTGGCTCTCTCAGCTTCAGGGCCCCCTAAGGACACACACCCACTCTTTGACTGACCCGTCTCCTGCTTTTTTCTTGCCCAGTGGTCACTTTTTCTGGCTCCAAAGGAAGAAAAAGGCTGTGGAGGTACTAGGGAACACACTCCTGTTTGGGGCTCGTAAGGTCTTGAGGCTCAGCTCTTGCCTGCTGGGTCTGCTGTGTGCAGAGATATTTGAAGCTGGGGCCCAGGACACAGATAAGCAAAGTTCCTCAGGCCTCTTGTTCCCATCAGAGCCCCTGCAGAGCCACCTCCCCTCTCTGCCCTGCACACTGACCTGACCAGGCCAGCGTGGTAATAGCTTTGTCGTGACTCCTGGGTAACTTTGGCCAGTGGGACCCCCAGTAGGAAGTCAGAGGGCCTGGAATTGCCTTGGAAAGTCCCATTTTTTTCCTCTTTGCAGGGAAGAGACAGTCAGTTACGCCCTTCAGGAAGCCAGCAGTACTCACCAGAGAGGCAACCATAGCAGGTGGTGTCTGAAACCTAAGTCATCTTGGCCCTGGTGACTCTCCCTGGCACAGTGTCCTCCTCCCTGGGGCCAGGGGAGCTCTGAGACTGGGGTTCTGCAGTTTTCAGACAGGACTCTCTCTCTCTCTCTCTCTCTCTCTCTCTCTCTCTCTCTCTCTCCCCTCTCTCTCTCCCTCTCTCTCTTTCTCTCTCTCTCTCTCTTCCCTTTGAACACATATCCTTTTGTAAAACAGCTCTTTCATTAAAATCACGTCTTCCTGTTTTTTCTGGAGGTTTGGTTTAAGTGGATACGATAGTCAATCTTTGTTGTCAACTCGACTGCACTGAAATGGCTCAGGAACATTGTCAACAGCTGCAGCCCTAGGCCTGGAAGTCACTTTGTCTGAGTAGGGGAAGGCAGGGTGGACTTTCTAAAATCACAGTGTGCTGGCTAGATTTAATGTCAACTTCCAACAAGCAAGAACCCTTTTAGAAGAAGAAACCTCAGTGAAGGAAAATGTCCTGTCCAGACTGGCCTGTGGACAAGCCTGTGGCACCTTCCCTTGACTGGTGATGTGGACGACCGCAGCTCACTGTGGGCAGTACGATCCCTGAGCTGGTGGTCCTGGGTGCTCTAAGAAAATAGGCTGGGAAATCCGTGAGGAGCAAACCAGTAAGCAGTGTTGTTCTATGGCTTCTGCTTCCGTTCCTGCCTCCAGGTCCCTGTCGTGAGTTCCTGCCCTGCTTCCTTCAGTGATGGGCTGAATTGTGGAAGTGTAAGGTCAAAAGAATACTTTCCTTCCCAAGTTGCCTTTGATAATGGTGTATTATCACAGCAATAGAAATCTAAGACACATGCCGCCTCGGCTTGCTTTGGCTTCTATTTATTTCTATTGTTTGCTTTGAATTTCTTGTGTGTTTTTGAAAAGCATGAAAATGAACTCAAAACTAAATCATGTTAACGTGGTCCCTGGAACAAGTCACTCCAGTCTGTTTTGGTCTGGACTACTGGGTTTCAAATAGCGGCTAAATATAAAACAGTATCTTTCCACGGTATGATTTAACACCCTCTTGGCTAGCACAACCTCCCCGGTTCTTACACTGTGCCCTCCCTGGACGACCAGAAACAAGCACTTAGACTCTGCCCAGCTGCAAAAGAACTAAGGACATTCAAATGACCATAGTTTATATGCAAATCTAGTCAGATGATGTAATGAAGGAAGAGGGTTCTGAGAAATACATCACGGCTTATCTCATCACTGTGTGCACAACACAGAGAGAGCCCGGTCTAAGGTGGTGCAGTGTCACCAGGTAAGAGAAGCTGATGGGACCCATATCCCATGTATGCATTCTGCTGTTGACTAACATGCTCAAAAATGCAGCGTACCACTGTTGTGGCTTCCGTGTCTAGGATCCCTCACAGGTCCATGTATTTAAACACTTGCTGGTAGCACTGTCTGGGAAGGTTGTAGAACTTTTAAGAGGTGGTGCGTCATTGGAGGAAATGGGCCACTGGAAGCAGGACTTGAGGTTTTCTAGCTCAGCCCAGTTTCCTGACTCGCCAGCATGCTGCTTCTGTCTCCCACAGTATGCTGGAATGGCCCTGGCGAACTAAGCCGGAATAAACCTCACTTTGCTTTAAATCACATCTTGTCGGATCTTTAGTCACAGCGTCAAGAAAAGTACTGATATTATTACTAATATTATAAATCAGTTTACCTTGTTTGAGCTTTGAGTAATACAATTACAGTGCCATGCCGTTGTGTCTGTCTTCTCGTGTCTTGCCATTATAGTTTGAATATTTTCCAGTACTCATTGTATACATAAGTATCTCAATTTGCTCATTTTCAGCAATTTATACCATTACGTCATCTACCTATGTGCTTATGGCTTCGACTGATGATGAACATTTAAGGTTTTGCCAGTTTGGGGCTATTGTTACATTTTAACATGTATTCTGCTGTGCACAAACATTCATGTGTGGCACATAGTTATGGGCTCCATAATGAGATTTTTAGTCAGCAAAAGACCATATAAGGATGGTCCCATAAGAGTGTGTCACTCCGTGGTGTCATAGCTATTGTAGATAATATAAATGCCTCCTGTGATGGTCACACAATGATGACGTCACCAAAGATCCACTTCTCAAAACATATTGCCATTAAGTGGTGCATGTCCATACTACACCATCGTATTTAGTTTTTATCCTTGATGTATATATGTGTACATGGTGTGTAGTGTGTGTGTGTGTGTGTGTGTGTGTGTGTGCGCGTGCGCACACGCGCGTGTGTCGGTTTTGGTTTTCATCTTCCACATTGTCAGAGACAGGGTATCTTGCTGTTTAGCTCTGTGTCATCTGGCTAGCTTCTGGGAATTCTTCTGTCTCTGCCACCTTAAGAGCATGTCCTAGTCTCTAAAATATCCAGACTCTCTTAAATATGAAAGGTCTCTGCAAAGTTCCCAAGTCGCTCTAACATTTCAAGGTTTCTTTAAAATATCCATGGTCTCATTTCTGTAGGTTTCTGAATTCTTTTAAAAGTTTAAATACTTCCTTACTTCAAGAGGGAAGAACCAAACCAGAGCACGGCGTTAAATGAGTGCTGGGAACTGAACCATGGAATTTTCAGGTAACTGGATGGATGTGAAAAGAATTAGACTGAGGTGACCCAGGCTCAGGAACCACAAACACACAAAACCTACTGCTCTTTCAGGAGATGTAAGCTCACGGTGAGCTACGGTTGACTCAGGCCATCCCTGAACTTAGAGATCTGTGAATGGGGCTGTCCATCTTCCCTGCCCTGTCCTCTTCCTCTCTCTCTCCCTTCCTCCCTCTCCCTTCCTCCCTCTGGGCTGCAGGGTTCTACAGGTGTAACCCTGTGACTAGTGTGTAGGCTTGGGAGGTCAAATTCTTCCGTTGTTGGCTGCCGCTGGCTTTGTAGCTTCCACGCAAGTCTAGGTATCAGGGTTCCTAGGAAGTCAGGGTTCCTTGGATTTTCGTCTGGGGCTAGCAGGCATTAGTATCAAGATTTCCTCAGTCCTTCACGCTAGGCAATGTGACAGTCCAGAGCCTGGAGGGTCTGAGACCCTTGACCCCAAGGTTGACCCGAAGGATGTCATCATTCTCTCACCTAGTTTCTCTTCCCTTTCTCCTTATGGCCATCAATCCTTCAGCCCCGCCCCTGCCACCCCTTTTCTGCCCACCCCCCTTCCTACCCCTGCTGCCCTCCGCCCTGCTATGGCCATTCTTGAGCTGTCCAGCTGCTTGTTCTCAGGTCAGCCTTGTGATCACAGCTAGACCTGCCAATGACCCGGCTGTTGTTGGCCATGACAGGTCTGTGCTCACTGCTGCTTTTTCTTCCGATTTTCCACTCAGTTCACTACTTAAAAGTGGGGGAAGAAAAACTACCTAAGACTTTTATCCAGCCTAGTGCTATAACCTCAGGGACAGCAGCACCGGAGGGTGTTTCCCAGGAGACTCACCCAGGGAGCCTCTGCAGCTTGACGGTGTAGCCTGTGAAGCCGCGTTTGAATTAATCACAGCATCTCTTCAGAGGCTTAGGTTTGATCAGTCTTCAGCCCCAGTCATAGTAGTAGTTCCTCAGCTGCACCACAAGGGGGCGCAGGTTAGAGTTCATCAAAGCTGCTGGCGACAAACTTCCCTGAGCCCGCCTGCAGGGGCTCAGTGGTTGGTGCTGCCACGAGGGTAGTCTGGCTGCCGGCTTTGACTGCCAATCCTTTTATTCAGGGCAGCCGGAGTTCTGAGAGACCAATGGCTGCTATTAGGGAATCAAATTACCCTAGCCCTTAGTATCTGTGCTTGTTTACAGGAAAATGGGCATCAGGTACGCATAAAACAGAACTCCAGCATACAAACCCTATGTTAACACTGATGCCGTTCATATATGTGCATACATGTTTGTGTGTGTTCGGGTGCACATCCAGATATACGTGTACGCATGTGGAAGCCAGAAGTCCCCCTCGACTTTGTTCCTCGAGAGCTGGCCATAATGTTTTTCTGGGAAGGGTCTTCGACTTTTACTTGGAGCTTGCCAACTGGACCAGACTGGCTGGCTGGCAAGCCCCAGAAATCCATCTGCCTCCACCTCCCCAGGGCTGAGGCTACAGCGTGCACTGTGTCTGTTTTCTGCATCACTTCTGAACTTAAGTCCTCATTCTTGGGCAGGAAGTACTGAGCTACTTCACCTAACCGACAGCAGACTGTAAGACGGCCCCACCACCTACCCACAGTCCAAGATGGGGGGTGGGGCTTATCTGTCTTATGGAAACCCATTTGTTTATTTATTTAGAATACGTATGTGCGTGTGTCCATGCATTTGGTGAATATGCATGTCATATCCATGCATGTGGAGACTCAAGGTTGAATTGAGAGTCTTCCTTGATTCCTCACCACCCTATTGACTGAGATGTGGGCTGGACAGTTTTATGTCAACGTGACACAAGCTAAAGTCATCTGAGAGGAGGGAACCTCAAATGAGACAATGCCTCCCTAAGACCAGGCTGAAGGCAGGCCTGTAAGGTATTTTCTTCATTAGTGATTGATGGAGCAAGGCCCAGCCCATTGTGGGTGGTGCCATCCCTGGGCTGGTGGTCCTGGGTTCTATCAGAAAGCAAGCTGAGCAAGCCATGAAGAGCAAGAGAGTAAGAAGTACCCCTCCGTGGTTTCTGCATCAGATCCTGCCTCCAGGTTCCTGCCCTGTTTGAGTTCCTCCCCTGACTTCAGTGATGAACAGCGATATAGAAGTATAAGCCAAATATACTTGCTGTTGGTCATGGTGTTTTATCACAACAATTGTTAGGGACAAAGACAGACTCTTAAACAAACCCAGAGCTCAACAAGATAGGCTGGTTTGGCTAGCCCGCTGGCTGCTGGGATTCCTCCTTCCCCACCTGCCTGTCAATTACAGGCCAGCTGCCGTGATCGTCTGGCACTGCATGGGCACTGGAGATCTGAACTCTGGTCCTCACGGTTAGGCAGCAGGTGCCATCCACCAAATCGTCATTTCTGCAACGCTTGTCATGGACTGTGTTGCCTGCTTCCTTGGCTGCAGAGTGCTATGAGGACATCTACAGAAGCAGGAGACTGGGCCACACAGGCAGGAAAGCTTAAAGGACCTCAGCACTTGCCGGATAGTCTGAGTCCTCGGCCACTGTCTGTGCTCCATCAGTTAACCGACTGTTCACACTGTCCAAAAATCCAGGCTAGTTTTCCTCAGGTTGATCAGAAGCTAGGCCGGCTTATAAAACAAGAGTTCCTGATGCTGCA